TGAAGATCAGGGCCTCCATTTTGGACAGAACACCCTTCTGCTTTGTTGGCCCCTCTCTAAAGACATTAGCTGGAATTGCTCTTTGATTGCACTTTTGAATGTGAGAGTGAAAGAGAGAGAATCGTGCGTGTATACGTGTGCGCGCTTGCTCTTTACCAGTTTCCAATCAACCTTTTTCACGCATTTTGCAATCAAAACTGTGTTCATGCATTCCTTCAAAAAAGGGACAAAAATAAAATGTAATAAAAAGAATGATATAAGGCAACATGTTTGTAATTAACGCAGGATAACAATAACTCAAATTGAACTTAGTTGTGGAATCTTTCTGCAAATCTCTGCTTTTCTTTGGAAAAGGTTTAAAAAACTGGATGTTTAAGTACCTGCTCCACCGGTGACACTTTTTTTTTAACTTTTTTTTTTTTTTTCACGCCCTCAACATTAAACAAATTAAATCAACAAGACTAAAGCAACCACAGGAGGGAAAATTCGTTTGACAGACATGTTCAAATTCACTCGAACACGATTCCCTCTAATAGAAACCCGCGAGTCCTTCAGATTGTGTTTATTTTCCAGCTGCTTCTGGAAAAGTGGAGATGTTTAATTAAAGCTACGCCAGCCATCTCCTCAACCTTTGCTCATTGACACTGACACGTGTTCATATCACTTCTTAATAAAAGTACTCCGATTTTAACGGTGGGCATGCAGTCCTCTACAGGCCTCTGTGTTTATGTGACTCGATGACTTTTTACTTTTCTTCTGATTTGGTCAAATATGGGAGTTTATTCTAGCACCACACCAGTGGTGAAATATCTAATTTTCTAAATTTTTACCATTTTTAATGTTATTTTTCGAAAGGATGTTAAACGTAGTATTTAAACATCAGTACCTGTGTGATCATTTATATATAAATTGTCCTGAAATATAATGTCTACCGGGGATGGTCAAATAATGCAACACTATACGGCCACACACTGCATCTTTAGAAGACGAATCAACAACAAGTCTCCTATTTGTTGCAGCTGTATGAGTCCCATCACTAGCAGGTGCTGCTGCTGTTTTGCTACTGCAGCGTAAATCCACGTGTTGATTCCAGTCCTTCAAGCCGCGTGGCGTTACCGTTTCACACACACATTCAAGCAGCCACGTGATTAAATGAAAGACTTTTATTTCCACATTTATAAAAGTATTTCTCTTTTACATCAAATCCCCCCCCCCTCCCCTCCCCGTTTCTGTCCAACGGTTGCTGTGAATTTCACAAAAAAAAAAATGAACTTCACGAAATGGGGAGAGTTTGAGGGGGAAAGCTGGAGGAACGAAAATAATAAAAAATAAAACGATCCAGGAAATACAAGAACCACTCCACAAGTTTGATATCTGCAATATACATTTTTCACCAAAGGAGAGTATAACAATTAAGGGTTATCACGGCTTCATATGAAGTAACATAAGTGTGATGCACAACGTCTGTTCAAATACATCAAATCAACAGGCAGTTACACCTGCACGTGGACCCGAGTCCGATCGCTTTGTTCATTGCAAAAAAAAGGAAAAAAAAGAAAACATGACTGAGGTGATTGCGTCCCCGTGTCCTCCTCTGCAGGAATAAAACTGCTTTTTTATATAAATTACTTGACATTTTTCTCTCCGCTAAAACTTCAACTAAGAACAAGAAAACGACTTTA